ACACTTAACACAAATTCAAGATATATTATTAAGTCTATCCCCCAGCTTCTAAATACAACAATATCATTCACTAAAGACATTTGCAAAATGAACAACTATGCATACTTCCTACTTACAAGAAAAGCAATTCTCGCAAAATCAATTAGAATCAGTACCAATTACATTCTTTTTCAAAGGAGAATAGACACACAAACTAAGGCCACCCAAATTGAACTTGACCCTCTTCTTCACTCAAATAATACCCATATCTTCTCTCTCAATCATGAAATCACCTCGGACAACCTAAAAACAACTATAAAGAAGCTACATATTGCACAAAATATAACAAATTGGCTTCAACAGAACCAAATTCAAAACCTCACTCAAACATATCGAAATATATTGTGGAACCTAACATTCGAATTTATGCAATATAATGACAAACCTCTTCACCGGTCCACTAGTCCCAAGATGTCTAAAACAAAAAACTTCAAATGCAAGCTAATGATGAAAAAACTACCAAACTGAGTAAATCTTCATACTCGATATTCCTACACTTACACGAATCCGATATGTTAACGCTGACAACAAACACCAGAAGATGATAACTACTGGATTACTTGCACAACCAACTCTACCAATATTACTTCAATAATTAACCTAACTATCGACTATATAGCGTCAAAACATAAAGCAAATACTACTAATCGAAATCTCTTTATTCAAGCATTCTATAATACCTACCTCAATGCCAATCTACCAATTGGATTTATCTCCATCGCCATGCTCCCACTCTTTCAATCATCTAGCCAAGCTACACAACTAGCACCAGAATTCTATGACAAATTAGTTACCGAAATAAGAGAGAAGATCTGGATACCTAGCAAAATATTAATATCATCTTATAACCCAACAATGATCAATCCTCCCTACACCACGCCTACTACTACTTCAATTACTAGCTACAAACAAAACCCAATTGGTTAATACATCTATAATAGTTGGTTACTAAATTACATACATCAATACACCTCTCCTCACGCCTGCTACAACTCATAGACTAGAGGTTTTTGACCTACCTAGCAAGGTTTAGGTCTGAAGTAAACTAGCTTAATCTTCACTTCCCCTAAAAATTTATGTAAACAAATTTGTAATCTAACTTTGTATAATAAATAATAAAGGAACTGAGGAAAAGACCTCACTTAAAAAAAAAAAAAAAAAAAAAAAAGATAACATAGACAATAGACTTGCTAATATTCCAAGATATCCAGAACTTAAAATATTTAAAAATAGAATTTAGTTACTTTCCCAGATAACTGCTAATGAATATCAAAATCTTATGAAAGTTATAATATTTGTTTTGGATAATCTAAATATTAGTGATTCTTTAAGCAAAAAATTATTAAATCTTTACAAATCTTGGAACAATATGTATTTGATGAGCCGGTATGAAGAATAT